GACCACCGTATCAATTGTTTCGAGTCAAAACTATTGTTGAAACGGTGACTGACCGTTTTATGGACGTAATTTAAGGTTTGGGACCGACGCTGCAACTACATATAAAGGTTTGGGATTTCGACGGCAAAAATAAAAGGTTTGGATGTAATCTACAACAAAATGAAAGTTTGGGACCACGGTCGCAATTTTCCTTAAAAAATTAATATAGCAAAGTATCACTAACATATATTGATAATGATATCGTTGGCAATTAGTGACACAATAAATTGGGTTGTGTTTGATTGGAAAATTTCCATGAAAATAATCTTTTTCACTCAAATTTCAACTTTCAAAATGTTTGATTGTCATTTTTTTCAAGGCAAAAATATTTTTCAACCTTTGAAAATATGCTTAATCTTTCTTGTTTTTGAGGAAAACATTTTATTTGAGGGATGTATGTTTTTATTTTCCTGAAGACAAAGAAAACATTTTCTTTTTAGGAGACACTTTCCATACTAATCAAACACATCATTAGTAATTATCGATGAAAATATATATCGGTTAGTTATGTTGCCGAGAATCGTGATAGAGCTTCAAAAAAGAGGGAAAAAAGGAAGAAGCAAAATTAACGGAAGAGGAAAAAAAAAATCTAGAAGCTAAAAGTTAAACAAAAAATATGTTAATATCTACTGAACAACGATAACATGGCACTTCAATCTACTGATAGATGAGTTCATGGTGAATCTCAAAATTTGGATTGAATTTGTTATCCGTCAATAAGTTGATGTGTCATGTCACCGATGTTTAATATAAGTTAATAATCAGTGCTCATCAGATCATTTCTGTTTAAATCCTATTAAGTTTTGGAATTCCTTCATAATTAAAAGTTCAACATTGTTTGAAGGAGTAACTCAAGACCTTTTGCGTTGATTATCATTTTCATATATGTTAAGTGATGGAAGATTTTAACATGCTCTCATAAGATGGTGACATAACTTGATTTTAAAATTTTACTACTTGAGTTTCTAGACATATTTGAATTTCTCATTTAAGGTCGTCTTCACATATTAATCTCATAGAGTATTAAATTTGTTAATTTTGTTAAGAGGAATAACTCAAATATTTATATATTCATTAATTTTTTTATTTAATGATAATAATAATAAAAAAAGTATCTCATGTTCAAGAGAAACGCAAAGGTCTCGCCCATGTTTGAAAATATACACACAATTATTACCAGTACAAACTTGTACATTATTCCGTGAAGGAGACTCCAATTAAATAATTAGTTATATAATAATCAAACCGTTATAATCCTAAATGCACTTCAATTAAAATATCAATAAGGACGCTGCAAACAGACGCAGTTGCTGAGCTCAAAACGGAGCCCTGATTCTACAAAACTATACGGGCGTGTTTGATACGCTTTATTTTCCAGGCAATTAGGAAAATATTTTTCACTTTCCACTTTTTTGGCTGTTTGATAGGCGAAATTTTCCACGGAAAATATTTTCCGGGTTTAGCCCACACGTGTGCATTTTTCCGGCTTTTNACTTTTTGGCAATGGAAACAAATTTTATAACTAATTGTGGAAAAAAATATCACTTTAATGGACAATTTCCATGTAAAACAAAGCCAAACGAATAGAAATTTTAAAAATTTTCCATGTGGAAAATTATACCAATCAAACACACTTGAAATCGTTTTCCCTACAAAACATTTTCTAAGCAAACATTTTCCCTATAAAATATTTTCTTTCCATCCTTACAATCAAACGCACTCTACAAGAAATGTCAACCTCCTTGTGTTAACAATTCCATCTTTCTATATATTAGCGTCCAAGATATTGACAATTGGCACATATTAGTTAAAGTTGTTCCTTAATTATTGCATTTTCATTTGTTTTTGTCATGCACGAGAAAAGTACTTCGTCTGTAGGGTTGAAGATAAGATTTAAATAAGTTGAGACTTTAAATGAGACAGCTAACGTGTTGTCATCATCGTCCATTTGTGAAAATTGAGGACATGTTAAACATTTGATTAAAAAAATAAAAATGATATGTACATGAACTTTAAATGAATTGGTTAGCATGCACATTTTATAGTTTAATTTATCCATATGCAAACGCTACCAAGTCTTGTCGAACAATACAAACATTATGATCCAATGAATCTAAATTTGTCCTAGTAGTTTTACTATCTTCTTCACCTCTATGTTTTTCTTCACGACCACTATTCGTGCTGAAGAATACAATATATTTTCAATAAACGTGTAAAGACGGTCAAATATATTATCTTTACAAAGGCCTAAGATGGAACAAGGGCATTGTGGGCCACCTAGCCTATCATATTATTTTAAGTATTTTATTTAAAAAAATTATAAAACAAAAAACTTGAAAAAGACCCTCACTTGGGACTATAACTTACCTCTCTAGACAAGTTTGGGAGGTTTTCGGTTGCACCTAGTGTGGATGACCATGAAGTGCAACAAGTTGATGTTGCTACATATGAGGGACGAGTCAAACTACTTCGACTTTGCATTGTATGAACAATTCAACTCTCTCTACACATTTATAATTTAGCCACTGTTTGAGCCAAATTATTGTAGAATGAGAATGAAAAAATATAGCCGTTATTGGGGCCCACACAAGATATATAAAATTTGAATTTAAATGTTGATGTGATGGATAACAGTCATATTTTTTAATTTTTTTGGATGAAAAATGAGAAACAAACGGAGACATTAACAGTCATATTTTTCATTTTAATGAGATAATAAGGTGGCTCAAATTAGACCTTATGGTGATGTGACGACTCAAATAACAATTATTTAAGATCTATATGTTTTTCATTTCATTTCATTTCTATTTATTATTAAAATTTTGTTAGTCATATTTTTTAAAGATAATTAAATATTTAAAATGTTTTCGAAAAATATAATTTAAAAAGTAGTACGGAATTTATACACACACACACACAAAAACAAATAATGGGGTATACTGGAAAAGCATGACTCTTGAAATATTTAAGAGTAACATATATTTTACTTTATTTTTTAAAAAAATAATTTTTTAATACTATAACACCATATGAACGTTGTAAATACCACTTGCCACCTTTACGAACATGGATAGCACATTATTACTTGTATGACACAACTTCACACTACCACTTGCCAACATCACCATTACAAAACTCGAATAATATATTATGTCACTCATCGAACACCACTTAATACCAACGTTTGTCCCAACCACTTTCACAAAATACGAGTAATACATTATATTACTCGTTTAGAACGACACCACTACTTGCCCCACCACTATAAAAAAACACGAGTAACATGTATGTTACGAAATAACTCTACGCCACTGCCTACCACCACCACAAATATGAGTAAACATATATGTTACCCGTCTGAAATCACTCCATACCTGTCAAAAAATTTACAATCCCCACGTTGCCACAAAATCCTTTTGAAAACCAGAAACTATTGTATAATGCATTGTATTGATTATTGAATTTAATAATATATTAACTATTATATTGAAAAATATTCTAATAAAATTTCAAGAAAAGTAGTATTTAGTTATATAATATATGTAAACATCACAATGTCCTGTAACTAGATCAAACTAGATTTTTTATTTTTTTTTCAAACACAGGCTTGAACTGTCAATATAGATAGCTAAACATATAAAATGATCACTTTGTCTAAAATTTAAATTTCCATAGAGGAGAGATAATTACTTTTGACTTCACAACCAAGCTACATCACCAATTAATGAATGGAAATACATGTATTCCTAATAAAGTCATTTGATCAGTACAGGCACAATCATAAAATAACAATTATTGTGAAATTGACTACAATAAAAAATAATAATAATTTTTGTTATAATTGTGTCTTGTTTGTTTCCAAGAATTTCTTTCTGATATTGGCAAGTCTGATCACAGCCTCTTTCATGTTAATCCTCTCTTCTGGTGCTTCCTTTGAGCAGTCGAGAGCCAATTCTATCGCTGAGGATATCCAAATCTTGTGCCTAGTGTTTACTTCATTTTCCTCTTGAAATACATTGGAATCAATAATTTCCATCAAAGAATTGGGATAAGATGCTGTAACCCATTGCTTTAGGCTCAAATTTTCGGAGAATATCTCGTCTGTTGGTCTCTTTCCTGTGAGTGCTTCCAACAACATAATTCCAAAACTATAGATGTCACCAGCTGCTGACACTATTCCCTGTGAGCCGTACTCTACGTGGCATCAAGTAATCAAAATATATCACCAGAATCGTAGACAATGGTGGAAGTGCAATAATAAACAGAAAAACGAGCAAAGCATAATAAAAGCTATAGTGGTTATTACCTGGTGCAATGTAGCCAATAGTCCCCAATGTATTCGTCTGTGTGTAGGACTTATCTTGAGCTAATATCTTTGAGATTCCGAAGTCACTTACATGAGCAACCATATCAGCATCGAGGAGAACATTGGCTGGCTTTAGATCACAATGAACCACTTGATCATCATAGCCATGATGAAGATATTCAATAGCCATTGCCACATCCAGCATTATGTCGATTCTCTGAAGGAGATCAAGTATGTAGTCCTGTCGATGTAACCAATTGTCAAGATTTCCATTTGGCATGTATTCAAGAACAATGGCTCTGATGCATTCGCTGGAACACGTCGTGATCACTTTGACAAGATTCCTGTGCCTTATTCGTCTCATCACCTCACATTCTGCATCAAACCTTTTGCATATTTCTTCGTCTGTTAAATTCAGAACCTTTATTGCCACAAGATTTTCATCAGACAAAATGCCCTTGAATACGGAACCAGAACTTCCTACTCCAAGTAAATTGTTTTCACTAAAATTATCTGTTGCTTTCACAAGCTCTCGATATGGAACCATCTGATGAGTTGGAATTTCTGATAACTCGGGATCTCCCAACGTCTCCTTTTTTCGTCTATACAAAATCCAAAGGGACAACGTAACAAATATCAATCCCACTGATATCGTAACTGGAATAGTAATTCTGAGAATTCGTGTTTTAGATCTTGATCCCCGCAGACTACTAGTATTACGACAGCGAGGGAACTCCAGTATTGCCATGCTGCATAAACCACTGTTCCCAACGTAAGATTTAGGAGACGAATTTGCAAATACACCACCAGTAGGTATTGCACCTTCTAAATTGTTATTCGACACGTTGATTTCTCTAAGGTACAATAACCTCTCCAAGGATTGTGGTATGGTTCCCGTTAAGCCATTGGAAGACAGATCCAAGAACTCCAAGCTAATCAAATTTCCAAATGATGGTGGAATCAAACCCTCGAAGGAGTTGTTTGAAAGTGAAAGATGCCTCAGAGTTTTCAAATCCCCGAATGCACTTGGAATTCGGCCTGACAATTCGTTGCTCGATAAATCTAGTCCTTCAAGTGTCCCCAACTTTCCAATCTCAAGTGGAAGTTCTCCTTGAATAGAATTTTGAGACACATTCAGAAACAATAGATTCTTAACTTCCCAGAGACCGAGAGGTAGGCTTGATGTCAATCGATTGTAACCTAACATGAGTTTTTGTAGCCTACTAAGATTCCCTATGCATTTGGGTACGAATCCTGAAAGATTATTTTCTGAAAGTATCATATCACCAAGATCAACTAAGTTGCATAACTCCACAGGAATATGCCCTTCTAGCTTGTTATTACTTAGATACAGCCTCTGTAGTTGTTTAAGATAACCAATCTCTGAAGGTATGTTTCTTGTCAAATTGTTTCCACTTAAGACTAGAGTTAACATACTACTCATGTTACCTATTCCAGTTGGAATTTGCCCATAAATCTGACCATTCTCAATATTAAACATTTCAATAGAGCTCGAAAGGTTCTGAATCGAATCAGGCAGAATCCCGTTGAGCGGATTATTCCCTACTATAAGAAATTGCAGCATTCTACATTCTACTAAAGAATACATAAATCCAAGCTCAGGATTTTTCGGTTCATTGGTGAGTCGATTACCTGCGAGGTTCAGGAAAAGGAGATCCCTCAGATTACCCAAATTATATGGCACTGAACCCGTGAAGAAGTTATACGATAATTCAAGCTCCTTGAGTTTAGAAGCATTTGTGATCGATACTGGAATCTCTCCTTCGAGCATATTATCCGCTAAATAAATTCCTTCAAGGTTTGGAAGCTGCATCCCAAGGGTTGCAGGAATTCGTCCGGAGAGACTGTTATCAGTGAAAGCAATATATACCAATGAAGACAAGTTGAAAATCACTGGAGGAATTTCACCAGTAAGATTGTTATAATCAAATCCAAGCATTTGTAAGTTGAATAGCTTTCCCAATTCTTCAGGTATATCTCCCAATATGCTATTTTCTACACACCCAAGAAATTGTAGACTAGAAATGTTTCCAATAGACGGAGGAATAGTGCCGTCTATTTTATTTTCTGTCACATAAAACTTCTCAAGCTTTGATAAGCAACCAATGTTTCTTGGTATTTGGCCGGTAAAACTGTTGTACGAGAGATACAGTGATTTTAGCCCTCTGAATCGGCATAAGCTGGAAGGAATTTCACCAATAATTTGATTGTGAGAGAGATCAATATCCTCAATATCAAGAAAATTATCCTCTCTAGTAAGCAAAAATCCACCGGACAGGCTATTACTCGAGAGATTCATTGCCTGCAAAGATGAGACGTTGAAAATGGATGGAGGAATCGAGCCTGTGAACCGATTATTGGACAGATCCAATTCCCTGAGGCTACTCAGGTTGCCAATCTCACCTGGAATGCTCCCGCCAATTATGTTTCCATATAAAATCAACCTCTCCAGCTTCGAAACATTTCCAATGGAAGAATGAATCGAACCCGACATACTATTCCAGGAAAGATTCAGAATTCTGAGTTCTGGTGCATTCCAGGAATCTCTCCACAGATCTCCATTTAATTTATTGTAAGCCAAAGACATAATTTCCAGCTTTTGGCTTTGGAACAGTTCCAGGGGAATATTGCCCTGGAAACTGTTATTACTTATATCCAGCTCAACGAGAAAGGATAAATTGGCTATAGATGGAGAAATTGTTCCTTCAAGATTCATGTTGGGAAGTTTCAGGGCCATAACCCTTTGCCTTCCAGGGCTGCAGGTGACTCCAATCCAATTGCAGAAAAAAGTACTTTTTGTCCAATTATAAGTCAAAATATTGTCGGGATTCGTTACCATGTTTCTGAAATCTAACAAAACCGATTCATCAGAGGATTCAGAAACTGAAACCTGGAAATATCCACTGAAAATTAAAACAAGATAAATGGAGAATAATTTCGCCATGGGAAAGGCTTACAAGTTAAGTGCAGGTATCAGAAAGACCATATAAAGATTGTCATATTTGTAGGGACTACAATTTTATTTTTGCCTCTGAGATTTTCTACGCGCATTAAGTTATGCCAGCATTGTCAAATGTTCAAATTTAGCACACACACACTTAAAGGCATTTACTAGAAATGTGCTCACCAGCCGACATTGTATTTTTTCAGAAAGTATTTTTTTTTTTTTTGAAAGGGAAATCTGAATAAAAATTCAGAAGATAGTTTAGAATTGGAAAAACCATGTCCTCAAAGTCTCTGGTCTATCGTAAGTTGGACCGCATTATCTTCTCTCACCATTTTCCCCAAATTTTGATTCTAAATACTTCATTTATTATTTTTTATAATTTAATTTTGAATTATTATTGTTTCCTCGAATTCCACCCGAGATATTTACTAGGCTTCTCACTTTCTTCAGTTTTGGTTTCTTGCAAAACCACCCTTCTTGTCTCCACTGCACGACTCTCCAGTGGCGCCAGCTCATTAAAGTTTTTTATGTATAAAAAAATTATATGTAAAAAAATATTTATTGTATTTTTTTTTTTTTTTTTTTGTACAACAGCTTAATTTTTTTTAGTTCAGTCATTGATCCGCTCATGCGACTCTCTCTCCTTTTCTTCCCTCTTTACAATATATGAGGATGAAATCATTCATGTTGATTCTAAGCAAATTAAAAAGTGGTTCAGTTTGTAATTCTTTATGAAAGCACTTCGAATAAGTCATGAACTAACACATACATGGTCCTACTTGGGCAAGACACTAATGAAGGGTAATGCAGTACGCAATGTGCTAAAAATGCCCGTAGAAAGTGACAAGCACGAGGATTGCAATGTGGGGGCATGTGAATGACCCTCAATGCTTCAAACGAAACTAAGACATCTCCTTCTATCAAGTATGCTTCAGAACATAGCCGAACCTCAGGAGAAACTCAAGAGGCTGTCGTCTCAGGCCCAGCTTTTTAGGGGCTCCAATTTTTTTTTTTTTTTTTTTGGCTTCTTTCTTTATTTTAAAAACTCATTGTCGTTTATACTTGTTCACCCTTTTTCTGTTGCTCTAAACAATGAGGTTTCTTCAACAATGATATCGTAAATCATAGAATTAGTGTCTGAATTTGGAATACGCATTCCATTGTGTAACACCCCCTCAATATATTAACTGCATTGACTGATAGATGTTATATATTTAATTAATTACCGTATAGTTTTGTATCTAGATTCAGTTATATTTTTTTCAATGTCCTGTTGATCGGATCATTGATTTGGGTGTGGGATTGAATTTATTTTCTCGGTCTATAATCCATTATTAATTAATGTGAATTTGTGCGTTCTGTGGGGTAATTAGGTGCAATATATGGTTAAATATGATGTGATTTATTTTTTTCCATTTTACTGTTTCAGTATGAAAATATTTATAACCTTAGATAATATAATGTTATTGTTGTTGCAATAACAATTTTTTTTCTCTAAAGGTTGTGAGCATTCTGCAAAGTGAGAAATTGTGTAAATTTTAATATTTTTCGCAGGCAATAAGTTTATTTCCTATTTTATGTAAAATTGAATTCATTATGAGTGCGAAGTGTATTTATCATACACATGTAATGGAAATGAATCTTCTCCCACTATAACTAAGTTAGAAATGTTGATAATCATTGATTATTTTTATTTTTCCCCTTTTCTGTTAATAGATTGTTTAGACATTTTTTTCCCACAAATTTGCCTTCATAGATATCTTATAACCATGTCGTAGAATATAAACAAAAATCTTGGTTTGATTTTGTACTTGTGGTATGAAATATTTAGGAAAGCAGCTAAAAGTTAAACAAGTCAAATACCATACTGATTACAATTGCATTAGCAAAAAGAAGTTTCTTCAACTTGAAATTAATTAAGATTTATCTCCGATCAACTTTGTCACGGCAAAAATTGAATGAATCGGCCATGTTATCTATTAAAAAGAAATGGTTGAACAAACTCGACTATTCAAAATTAATTAATATTCTTGTCTCTAAGACCGCATGACGAGTTGTATTTAAGTGATCGTTTAAAATATTTTCACATTGTTATTTGATTTTAAATTAAAAAATTTAGTTCCACAAAACTCTTATAAATGAAAAAAAAAAAAAAATTGATTACTTACTACAATTTAAGAACCCAATTTTTGAAATACCCGCGAAACACAGGTACGGCCCTGCTTCAAAATACCATATGCTCTGCAATTTTAAGCTTATCTCTGGGATCCTTGGTTGTGTTGTGCACAAGGCATGATAGTCCATTAATTTATTTCAAGATACATGAATGAAGTTATATGAGATTTCCAAGACTGTTTCCTTGGATGAAAAGCTAGTTACCTATACAAATGCATATTTATGCCGAGTGCTCAATCAACTAGCTTTCGATTGGAAATATTTTTAATAAATTCATTTGGGCCAATGACATTTTTGTGTGGTAGTATAGGATAAAGCTCCACTGAGTTAAGCAAAGAGCCATGACATTTTTTGAATAGTAATTAGGAAATACGTTCCTTAGCTTAGCATCCATCCTCACAAGGCCGATCTCGACATTTTGAGGGTTTTGTGTCAATTTCGTATGAATTTTATAAGTAGATGAAAATAAAGCTATTAAAAATATGTTTTTATGGGAAGCCCTTATTTATGCAGGCCATAAGCAACGTCATGTTCCACCTGCAATTAGGGTCGACCCCGAGAGCAACTCTTATCCAATATAAATATGTGAATTTTTGAAAATCCAGAAGGCCTTGAATTTCAATTGAATATAGCATTTTATAGAAGAGCCCCGCTACATTACCAGACTGGTGGCTCACAGGATTGTTCCAGGCTACTCACATTCAGGGGGATGGGTATTTTTTTGGGCATTTTTTATTGCACGTGGGGCCCACCCCATGAGAAAGAGCCTGTAAAACACATGTGATGCAAATCCTAGCAGAGTAGAGTTATTCTTTATAAAAATTTCGAGATACACACCTCACGAGATAATCACCTACAAAAGTTTGAAACTACCACATAAAATTGAGGCCTTGCATGATCACATTTGCACTTCAAATACACAATAATATATATTTTTTGTACTAAAACTTTTTTATACTGAGTTTACAAACTATTGGATATTATTTTTATTTTTAAAAATAAATTTAATTAAAACTATGTCATATTGCTGAAAATCTTACTTGCCCCTCTTTTCTAGTTCGTTACCATGACTAAAATCTACTAAATAATTTATCCAAACTAGTTGAGGCCCATGCAATGCATGGGCTGTCTTATTTTTGAGGTTATGTTAGCGTATATATAATAGATGAAATTAGGAAAATTAACTTTATTGAACAAAGTAAATTTACATATGATATATTGTGTAATAATTTGTTGATGATTTGTACTGAAATGTTATATTCAATGTAGAAAAATATTTACGAATAGTCCATGTAATGAAGATTTAGCACTAAGGAACTGAAAGAAAATTATTTTAATATAAAGATACAATAATATAGTTTATAGGAA